CTCACATTACAGACAATGAAAATTGATTGTGTTACTTTGTGAAAACTAAAAAAAAAAGTGTTAAAATATGCGCTGTTGTTGTTTAAGTCTTTTTTTATGGTAAAGAATACAAAAGTGCCTGACAAATCAATAACAAGCTTATTTTCATGAACTTTTGTGTTTTAATGAACTAACATTACATTACCATATAGCATGGTAAAGGGGAGAATGAATTATCGCTGATAGATACCATACTAAAAAGAAAATAATAAAAATCTTTACATTGATTGGTGCCATATTTTGTCTTTATTAGAGAAAAACTTGAAGCCTGGCTTGTTGAGATAAAAAAGCGAATGGAATTTGAAAAAGCACAGATTAAGATTCTACCATGGAACAGTAATAAGAGGAAGCTAGCAGTGAGTCACCTGGATTGGCAGCCAGACACAAGCTTCAAACTAAGAGACATTGTAACAAGCAAATACCGGGGGTACTACGGTCAAGCAAAAGCTTGTAAGTTAACTCCTGGTCAACTCCTTTGTCCTGTTGATACAACTCAAAGGGAAGCGATAAATTTAAAGGAAAATGTCATGACAGAAATCAATTCAGTTAAAATGAGTTTGGAGGAAGAAGGACTTGAGGCGATAAGAGTGTCTTCAGGTGATCTGATCAAGTCTGGAGATTTGCAGAGTACTTTGGTAAATGAAAACAAGACTGAGAAAAATAGAAGGTAAATTCATAGCAAAACATGATACTGCTGGAGTACATACATTCAGTACTAGTTCCCTAATTATTTTTTTTTAGAAATGGAGCAAAAAAGAAAATTACATTCAAAGTTAAGTCTCGAGAGTGCCATTTTTGGCAATTTTAAGGTGTAATGATCATATTCTACTGTATTGATTAGCAGTGCATGTTTAAGAAGAGTTCTATGGTGTTTTTTTTTTTTGCAATGTTAAATAATGTGCAGCAACAAATACTTGGTCCATGAGTATGAAAGCGTGAGAGGTCCACCTCCCTTACCCCACCCCCAAAGTTGTAAGACGTGCTTTAGATGTCCTACAGGCAGGCAATATTTTAAGCTCTGTCTACACTATCATTTTCTATGACAAATTTGTGTGATTTGCCATATATGGACATATATAATGATTTCATATCATGCGCATCATATCAAATTTTATTCAAAAATATCGTCTTTGTAGCTTTCCAGCTAAATTGTGACTGATAATGATATACTGAGTACATGTGCAACATAAAAAATGAACAACATGGTTAACTACAATTAAATAACAAACAAAATTAACCTAATCTAAATTAGGAAAAAGCAAATTGATAAAGATGAATTTGTTAAAATTGTGGTCTGTTGGTTCTGATAATTTGATTTAGAATATTTATGAGCTGTGGTGTGGGGCTATTTTTGTACCTATTAGTTGTGAATTTTGGTAATTTATATGTATTATATTTTCTTAGATTAAATCCAGAGGATATTTATTTCAGAGAAAATAGCAAAAACATGCTAGAATGTAAAATTTTTAAAAATCTATTTTATTTCACTAAACTGATGTTTATGTATCTATACATCTAGCTGTGCTGTTATTTTTCCCAATTTCAATGTTAAAACAACACTTTATGATTTTATGATAGTTTTTGCATGAGAAATGCTTGAAATCATAAAATTTGAAGGCTGATTTCTCATATATTTTTCTTTAAACCGCTGTATGCTTAAAGGCTTGTAAACTTCATAAGGAAATTTCGGATTTGAATGATTTTTTTAACCATTTAATAGCTCTTATTTTACTCTTTAACACTGTATTAATAACTCGAAATCGATTTTTGCGACGAGTGACTGGTTTGGCTTGTCTTTGCCACATATATGGACATAGTGATGTCATATGACACCCATATATGGGCATTATGCCCATAACTTGTTAGTCTGGATAGAGATTTATAGAAAATTTGATACATTAATAATTTACAAATTATTTAATTAGTAGGGCTCGTTTGGAAGAGTGGCTTACCGCAAAGGGTAAGACACCGCACACGGTCAAAAGAAATGTTCGGAGAGAAACATTTGATGTTGTCAGACTCAGTCCAGAACTAGAGCAATGTGTTCCAGTGGATGAGGATGCCCGTTTGGAAAGAAGTGAAGTGGATGTGAATTGCGCCCTCGATGAATGCCTTCACAGCTGTCTTGGTTTCATGAACGAGGTTAAAATTTCATTGATTTTTTTAAAGTTCGAATAAAAATTTGAAATATCTGATAAAAACAAGATCTGATAAAACCTTAAAGATCTAATTAAATCATGAAAACCTATCTTTTAAATTTTCATTAAAAAAAGTATTAATGATAAATAAAAGTGAGATTCTAATATAATATTAAAATACTACAAAACAGCTTTTGATTGCATTTTAGTTTATGTTATAGCTGAATACTTGAAGTTTTCTTATAGGAATGTGAATATAAAGAAAAAAACTTTTTGGTCAGTTAACATACTTTTGATTTTTCTTTTAATATCTTAGATAAAGAATGAAAGCAAAGTTAGTGATTGGCTAGAAGAGCTACATGAACGCTGCCCTCAAGTAAGAAGTAGAGCTTTGTTTTGGGTT